CAGTCTTCCCCGGGGCCGGAACCGGTGGTGGAGCTGGGTGCAGAAGAATCCTGGAAACATCCATCAGAACGGAGGTGGAGAAGAGGGGAGGAGGTGGGTTGTGCACAGCGACGAGCGGTTGGCCCTCTGGTAGCTTGGCTTTTGAAGACGGTCCTGGATGATGATAGGCCCAAAGAGGAGAGTTGCTCCAGCCCTGATTGGTTGAGGTAGGACGTGGCGATTGCGAGATGAATGTCAGCTGGATCGAGTCTCCCAGGTTGAATTTACGCCTAAGCTTCATTACATGAATGCTATTTCTGCAATGCAGTGCATCCCACCTGATGCACTGCAGGCATCAAGTGGGATTATAACTTATATGCTCTGCTGTGAAATGTTTTTCCTCTGACTTAAAGTGGACATGCCATGATTTTAAATCTTTCCTTTTCACATGTAATTCATGGAACTGCAATGCTTTGGTATGAATTCCAGGTTATTGTAGCTCCACAGACTCCTGGTTTACCTCTGTTCTGAGGTGTGTTTTAGAGCCCTAAAGTGACTCACTATGTCAATCTAAGTATAATAATAGAACATTTTCACCTCATCATGAACAGCTCTACATGTTTGCCATGGGTAAACTTGAGTCACGATAACCTCACAAAAGCAAAGTATACTGAATGTAGCTTACTCTGCATTTTAACTCCATATTTTCAACATGAAATGCTTTCTTTTGACAGATGAGTGTGTCTCTCTCTGGATGTAGTTTTGTAATTAACATGAATTAAGGTTGCTCTATGTTACATGTCTATAAGACACTGTGTCTACAGCACTCACCACATAGCCAGTCATTCTTCAACTGGTGTAAACCTTAAGTTGTCACCATGCAAACAAAGAACACCTGAGAAAGGGAGAATGAATGAACTTCCTGTAGTTCCATGTTCATTATTCCTAGTGAGAAATGCATTGTGCCTTATCAGCATTTTCTCCAGCCAGTTGCCCTCGGCATGCCATTGTCTGCGCTGCTGTTGTGTGCATGGACCAGATATAAATGGAGCATTGCTGAGGCTATGTAAATATTTGGAGCTACTGTAGCATATTTTGTTGTACAGTCAAAGACCAATGGGGTGAGGTATACTGGGAGGTGAGTATTTTAGGTGAGGTAAGCTTTTGCTGCATAGTTTTCACACATTGTTTGACAGTCATTTTGCTATCAGATCTGAAAGTACTTTTAATTTAAAATGTAAAACACAATAAAAACGCTTTTTTTGCAAGATAACCAAAATGCCCAAATACATGTCCACTCATTATTCCGCTTTCAAACATTTTTAATTCATTTTTACCATCTTTTATCTCCTTTGACTCATAAACATTTTAATAATAACAGTAAGGTAAACAATAAAAAACATGGAAAGATTCAAGATCCAGGTTGTACTGAAATGAAGTGACATCCACAAGACAAGACAATGTTTTAATTGTATTTTTTGGAAAATTCTAACTACATATGAACAAAATAAAGTATTAAATAAATAGACAAATAACCTCAACAATAAATGCATCCATTGTTTTTAATCTGCTAACCAGTCATGGTATTTTTCCAAGGTGCACAAATTGTTTGCATCTTCTCTCTCACTACTTTGTCTTTGTATTAGTGAATCAGAATACTGCCACATGAAGCATTTAGAAGAGGTGGAGGGGATCCTAGAGTGTTTTCCAGGTGGTTTCTGCCAGCCCAATGAACTATTTTCATTTGTCCTCTTTTATAAGTGCTTGTTGCCCAGGCGATGCATAAAGATCATGAATTTTATATGTAAAAGCGTGCTAGATTCAATAAACTCAAACAAAAAGAAACTGTTTGGTTGAATCGTATTAATCAAGTCTATTTGTTTACTGCCTTTCTTGCCTGTAATATATTTCTCTATCGCTTTAACATTTAATGACAGTGGGCTCGCGACTTTCTTATCAGTCTCTCTAAGCTGATACATTGTTTCTATTTTCTCCACCCTCATGTTGCTTTTTCTGTCATTCTGTGAAATCTACATTTTCTTCCAGTTGCAGCAACTATAATAAAGCATGTCTGCTGCCAGAGTGCATGCTTTGGTGACAGTATTCATTCTCCCACATTTTCCTCTGCCGCGCTTTTTTTTCCCAGTCTTTCTTGACATCCAGAGTCAAAAGGATGGATAGGGAGAAAGAGAAAACAGAAAGCTGAGAATTGCCCACCGACCATGACTGAGAAAAACATATGTGTGCCGGGAGAAGGGTTAAAAAATGCCCATCTTTCTCCTCATCCAGCCTTTTCCCTCTGCGTTAACAGAGATCGAAGGGATAAATGCTGGAATCCTGGATCAGGGTTCACCTTCTTCTTGTCATTCCAGGGAGCTTAGAGGTCAAGATGTTGGCTTTCAGACCTGCAGATCAGATGTTGTCTTTTTAGGTAAACCCTTCACAGGCCTATAATCAGCAGAGGAAAGCAGCTCCAGCAGCGGGTGTTTATGTGTGGCCCAGTAAGGGAAGTGAATCCAGGCATTTTTTTGTACACCTGAATCGATTAATTGCAATGGATGTGATGAATAAATAATCATCAAATAATTTAGTAGTCAAAAAAACTGTTGACATGTACAGACTGAAAAAAGGGGCATGTGCTTTCAGAGCCACATACTGAGAGTAGTAATTAAATCAAAACTGAAAAAAAAATCTGTAGATTTTGTATTTAAGATGGAAAACTTTCTTGGTTTGTAAATAAATTAACCCAGAATTTGTCAAGTGTTAGATTTACCATAACCCTGTTCAAATTTAGTAAACAAATAAAATAAAATAAAATAAATGAAAGTAAATAAAATTCTATTCAGCACATTTTTCTGTTCATTTATTAATCCAAAAATAAACAGAGAGCTCAACACTATTAATAATGTTATTGATATTAGTGAAACTCATGTTAGTCCAGCAGAAACATTTCCCATGTTGATGTTTGAAGAACTTTTTATCTCCAATGCATCCTTTGCTACAAATTATCAAGCATCCATTAAAGGAATACTGCTATTACAATTTCGGCAAGAAAATTTGCATTTCTTATTTTAAAAAGGAATTGAATTATTTGTTTATTTGCACCTTTCATTGTATTTCTAACAATGGTGGTTAGAAAGCAGCAACGCCACCCTCAGCTGCTGCTGCTCCGCTTTACCGACAGTTCAGACAGACAGAGGCAGCCCATCTGTCAGACATACCGCAATGCATTTCGGTGCTTCTTTATTGACATAGTGCAAAATTGGCACATTAGACATACTGTATTTCCACAATAATTGTCTGGAAATGGAAATTGTGTATGAACAGTTATTATCCTTCTTGTGGTGCTATTTGCATACAATCTTATGCTTAATTATTTTTCATAACAAGCATATTGATTTAAAACATCATTTTTTTGATTAAAAATAGGCCTTACGCTGAAATGACAAAAACAATAAATAAACTAGTTCAACATCTATTCAGATATTACAGATGAAAGTGAGTGAATATGATGATGTGATGCAATATTTTCCAGTTACATCTCAACTTGCAAAGAATCATTTCCTTTTCCAGGTCAAAGCTTCTGTTGGGATTTTTTTTCTCCTAATAGGGCCAACATGATGTTATCAGTGAAAGGCTGTAATGTCTGTCATGTTAGCTCAGCATGTCAGTGCCAACATTTACAACCTAGCAGTCAACACTGAGCACAGCGGAGATCTATTGAACATTCAAAGCATGTTGGTTTTAACCAGCTGATACAAACATTTCTCACCAAAGTTCATTGAACCAAAGACTTTCTTTATTCACTGCTGTGTTTGTTTGTTGGTCTGGGTATGTCCGGCTCAACCACCAAACATTACACTGCAAAAAATGGACTGCTCAAATACGATATATATAAAAACTCAATTGAAGAGGAAATTAACGACCAGCAAGTTATCTAATGTACATGTGCTGTAAAATGTTACAGCAGAAAATGTTTCTTGACTGAACATTAGCTGGAGATAGGCACCAGCACCCCTCCCGACCACACTAGGGACAAGGATTTAAGAAAATGGATGAATGGATGGATGACAATAGGTTAAAGTGACAAATCATGATTTCCCAGGTGGAAGTGTACTCAGATCAGACTTGTAGTTCTTCTGTCACAAGAAGTTTACTTTGTATCTGGACAACTTTGTAAAATGATAACTTTTCCTCTTCACATTTTTTACTTTAAACATAGAAACTGAAGCTCTAAATAATGTAGAGCCAACCAACTCATCCTGATTGATCGAAGTGTGCTTCTTTAAAATGTCACAGTGTTGCACCGTTTTGCAAAACAAAACACAAAAGACTGTATTTGCAAATGAAATCATCAGGAAATGTCACTGGATGAGAAATATATACAATGACAAAACCTTTATGTCAGGTTATAAGTTTTTAGCTGATTCACATCTGCAGTCATTTGATGCAAATGTTGCATCCATGACAGAACAAATTCCTATGCCTTCATTTTAACAAAAGTAAGACATTTTGAATACATATTATAAACATGTACATCTAAACATGCAAATTGATGTGGGCTAGTAAATTGTTGCATTAGTGGAAGGATGAATGTCAGAAGAATGTTAATATGATTATATAAAATGCAGACATCGAAATCGGACCAAACCAACAGGGTGCCAGCAGGAAGGAGCAGACTCAGGAAGACTGATTTGGACTGATCAGGCGCTCCCAGACTCTTTGATTAAGCCCACCTCTCAGAACCTGCACAGCAGCAGAAAGGAAAGCTGGAAGCAGGAAGGCCTGGAATGCAGGGTAGAGTTATCCCAACTCGCATCTTAGGAACTTTGTCATATTGGGAGGATTTGATTCTAGCCCATATGCAGAACACAACACTAGGATACGGTGGGTGAAAATATAGTGAATTTATTTGAGAAAGAAACGGAACACAGTGGCAGGGAATGAAAACTCTGGTCTGGTCCACGGGAAGGGAAGGATCAGGAAGCGATCGTCTCACTAGGAGTACAGAGCAGGAAAGGTGAGTTCGAAGGCTGTGGGAAAGTGGAGTGTCGATAACACTGGACAGATCTTACTTGAGCAGCGCAGTGAAAAGCTAGCGGCGGGTGGCTGCTGGGTCCAGGGTCCGGTCTCTCTGGGGGTTTGGGTGGGGCGTGTGCGCGCTGGAGGGCAGACAGGTAGGCTCGGGATCCGCGAGGAGCGAGAAACGGCGCGTCTTCCAGTCGAGGAAATCCAAGGGGAGACTGCGGAGAGGTGAGTAGACAAAGGAATCACTGACGGCTCAGACAGCGAGAAAAACACAGAGTACAAACTCGAGGTAGCTAGGAGGTACCAAAACTGGGCAACACTCAGGCGCCGAAGGACTGGTAGACCGCTCCTCAAAACCTGTCGCTGATGAGCTAATCCGAGGCCGGTGTGGGAGATGACGTCATCCACGCCCTCCGTCAAACTGATGGTGCCATCTGGTGAGGAAACAAAGGTGGTGCATGCACCCAAACCCCTACAGCGAGAACCTAACAACCCTGGATCCTGACAGTACCCCCCCCTAATGGCCGCCACCTGGCGGCCTAGACGAGCTGGAGGGAAGCGACGCACGATAATCCGAGACAAGTGACGGGTCCAATATGAATGAACCCGGAACCCAAGAACGGTCCTCCGGACCGTAGCCCTCCCAGTCAACAAGATATTGCCAACCCCGACCTCGTCGACGGGAGTCCACGATCCGGCGGACGGAATAGGCGGGATGACCAGCAATGTCACGGGGAGGCGGAGGGGGTTCGGCTGGAGGGCAGAGCGGGCTGGTCCGGACGGGCTTTATCCGAGAGACGTGGAAGGTGGGATGGACGCGGAGGGAAGTGGGTAGACGGAGGCGAACAGCGGATGGGTTGATTATCGTTTCAATTTCAAAAGGGCCAATGTAACGGGGAGAGAGCTTCTTAGACACAGATTTGAGCGGGATGTCCTGGGACGACAACCAGACTTGTTGACCGGGTGAGTAAACAGGGGCAGGACGCCTCTTACGATCCGCCTGCCGCTTGATTTGTTCTGTGGTGAGGTTAAGATTGTGGATGGTGGAATTCCAAACCTTGTGGCAGCGACGGATGTGGTGACGGACAGAAGTGACTGAGATGTCTTCCTCATCGGACGGCAACAGGGGTGGTTGGTAGCCAATGGATGCTTCGAATGGCGATAAGCCTGTGGAGGATGAGACGTGATAATTGTGAGCATACTCTACCCAAGGAAGATACTGGAACCAGTCGGAAGGATTGGAGGATGTGAAACAGCGGAGAGTGGCTTCAAGGTCCTGATTGAGGCGTTCAGTCTGCCCATTGGACTGGGGATGAAAACCTGAAGTTAGTGAAACCTTAGCATTTAATGCTGAACAAAAATTGCGCCAAACCTGAGAGGTGAATTGTGGACCTCTGTCTGACAGTATGTCCACCGGGATGCCATGAAGCCGGAATACATGTTTCACTAGAAGTTGAGCCGTTTGGAAGGCAGAAGGAAGTTTGCGAAGAGGAACGAGATGGCAGGCCTTGGAGAACCGGTCGACTATGGAGAGGATGGCTGTCATGCCCTTAGATGGAGGTAACCCAGTAACAAAGTCTATGGCGATGTGGGACCAGGGGCGTTTAGGAATGGGAAGAGGTTGGAGGAGACCAGGCGGAGGTTGATGGGAGGACTTGTTGCGTGAGCAGGTAGTGCAGGCCAGGACATACTCACGGACATCCTTGTGGACTGACGGCCACCAGAACCTTCTGTTGACTAAGGCGATAGTCCGGCTCACCCCAGGGTGTCCTGAAAATTTGGAGGCGTGGATCCATTGAAGAAAGCGGGTGCGTACGGAGGACGGAACAAATATTTTGTTGGGTGGACAGGAGTCTGGTGTCAGTTCGTTTTGTTGTGCTTGCTTGATGATATCCTCAATCTCCCAAGTTACAGTTCCCACGGTACAGCTGGGTGGCAGAATGGGGGCAGGAAGGTTGTCGGAATCATCGGAAGAATAGAGACGTGACAGGGCATCTGGTTTTATATTTCGGGAACCAGGACGATAGGATATGGACAGGTTGAAACGAGAGAAGAAAAGTGACCAGCGTGACTGTCGGGCATTTAACCTTTTGGCTGACTGCAGATAGGAAAGGTTCTTGTGATCGGACCAGACCAGCACGGGGAGTTCCGCCCCCTCCAGCCAATGTCTCCATTCCTCCAAGGCCAGCTTTATGGCGAGCAGCTCTCGGTCCCCCACATCGTAGTTTCTCTCGGGGGGAGTTAACCTACGTGAAAAAAAAGGCACAGGGGTGAGTTTTATTGTCGAGAGGTGAAATCTGAGACAAGACTGCTCCTACTCCCATATCTGATGCGTCGACCTCCACGATGAATTGTCTGGCTGGATCTGGCTGAATGAGAACTGGTGCATTTGCAAAGAGGTGCTTCAGACGAGTAAACGCAGCCTCTGCGTCAGAGGTCCAACGAAACGAGATCTTAGAAGAGGTCAGGGCTGTAAGGGGTGCAGCAGTCTGACTATAATTTCGAATGAATCTCCGGTAAAAGTTGGCAAAACCAAGAAAGCGCTGTAACTGCTTGCGGGTCTCAGGAGTCGGCCATTCCAGAACCGCCCGGATCTTCTCCTCCGTAGGCCTCACCTGTCCGCCCCCTAATATGAATCCGAGAAATGACACAGAGGTCTGATGAAAAGCACATTTCTCAGCCTTAACATATAATCTGTTCTCGAGCAGCCGCTGCAGCACTTGCCGGACATGATGTCTGTGTTCTTCTAAGGACTTGGAAAAAATCAAAATGTCATCGAGGTAAACAAACACAAACACATTCAAGAAATCTCGGAGAACATCATTGACCAGGGCCTGAAAAAAAGCGGGGGCGTTAGACAGTCCGAATGGCATCACCAGATATTCAAAATGGCCAATAGGCGTTTTGAAAGCAGTCTTCCACTCATCTCCCTCACGGATGCGAAGCAGATGGTAGGCATTCCTTAAGTCCAACTTAGAAAAGATGGTGGCCTCATGAACGGGTTCGAACGCTGATGATAGTAAGGGCAACGGGTATTTGTTTTTCACAGTGATGTTGTTTAAGCCTCGGTAATCAATACAGGGCCTAAGGGACCCGTCCTTCTTTCCAACAAAGAAAAAACCCGCTCCTAAGGGTGATGAAGACGGGCGAATTATTCCAGCAGCCAAGGATTCTTTAATATATCTTTCCATGGCCTCTCTCTCGGACGGGAAATGTTGTAAAGGCGACTGGACGGCAAAGGAGCTCCGGGAGCAGATCGATGGAGCAATCGTAGGGACGGTGCGGTGGTAAAGAGAGCGCCTTAGACTTACTGAAAACGGCCGAAAGGTCATGGTAATCGGTAGGTATGGTAGACAGGTCTACGGGGTCAACCTCCTGCTGCTGAACGGGTGGTGGTCCTGGAGGTAGCGCTGAATGGAGACAAGAAGAGTGGCAACGGACGGACCAGGAGGTGATGCGCTTAGCTGACCAATCAATCTGAGGGTTGTGTTGCTGAAGCCACTGAAAACCGAGAACCATTGGAGAGTTGGAGGTGGGGAACACAAAAAATGAAATAAATTCAGTGTGATTGCCGGATATTATTAGGTGGATAGGTTTGGTCTGGTGAGTTATGGATTGTAAGGTTTCCCATCCAAGGCGGTGACCTTGAACGGAACCGGCAACGGCACGGTTTCCACCCCCATTTGTTTGATTAAGGCCTCGTCCAATAAATTTTTGTTCGCAACCTGAGTCAACTAGGGCAGATACGGAGAAAGACTGAGTCGCATATCTTAAAGTGGCAGGCAGTAAAAGCTGAGGAAGATTCTCACTATTCTGGTGGTCCGCCAGCTTCCTCACTTCTGCTGGCGGACCTGGGAGTTTAAACGGAGGGGACACGACGCACGGAAATGACCGGGGGAACCACAGTAAATGCAGAGTCGAGCAGAGAAACGGCGTTGTCGCTCCTCCGGTGAGAGCCGCGTTCCCCCTAACTGCATGGGCTCCGGTGCCGGAGGAGCACGAAGAGGAGGGGCGACCCGGGCGATGCTAGCTCCACCATTGTCTCTCTGATTCTGGCTCGGGAGCGGAGACGGTTGTCGAGTCTGATCGCCAGGTTAATTAGCTCTTCTAGAGTCCCTGGTTCGTCCCGGGTGGCTAGTTCGGTCTTTTAGCGACTCATTAAGTGCATGGTAGAATGCGCTTTTTTAACGCTGCTGTATTCCACTCTGTAGCAGCCGCTTTAATACGGAACTCTATGGCAAAGTCTGCCGCTGTCTGCTTGCCTTGCTTTAAGTCCCATATCTCTCGTGAGTTATGAGCCTTGTCGGAGTCAAGGCTAAAAACCAGCTTAAACTCCTTGAGAAACTCTCGAAGGAACAACCATAATCAGTGGGATTAGGAAAACGAGTCTCTGCCCATAATAAGGCCTGACCAGATAACTGAGACAGGACGTAAGCTATTTTAGCGCCATCGTGTGTAAAACTTTGCGGGGAATGATTGAATATTATTGAACATTGCAGGAGGAAACCATTGCATTTATTCCGGTCACCTGAAAATCTCTCCGGCCCAGGAAGTCGGACGTCGGAAAACACGGGCTGAACTGAGGGTGCCGGAGCCGGAGCGGGAGAGGGAGCAGGAGCTGTAGCCGGGATCTGCGGTAGAGAGTTTTGAAGGAAAGTTGTTAGATCTGCCAGACGCTGGTTGGTTTCTGTTTGTAGGGTGTGGAGTTGTCGTATTGCAGACTCGTGTGTTTGGATTACAGACTGCTGCTCTGTCAGCGTTTTCCGTATTGCGTCTGCGGGGCTGAGTGGTTGGCCTGAGTGTTCTGTCATATTGGGAGGATTTGATTCTAGCCCATATGCAGAACACAACACTAGGATACGGTGGGTGAAAATATAGTGAATTTATTTGAGAAAGAAACGGAACACAGTGGCAGGGAATGAAAACTCTGGTCTGGTCCACGGGAAGGGAAGGATCAGGAAGCGATCGTCTCACTAGGAGTACAGAGCAGGAAAGGTGAGTTCGAAGGCTGTGGGAAAGTGGAGTGTCGATAACACTGGACAGATCTTACTTGAGCAGCGCAGTGAAAAGCTAGCGGCGGGTGGCTGCTGGGTCCAGGGTCCGGTCTCTCTGGGGGTTTGGGTGGGGCGTGTGCGCGCTGGAGGGCAGACAGGTAGGCTCGGGATCCGCGAGGAGCGAGAAACGGCGCGTCTTCCAGTCGAGGAAATCCAAGGGGAGACTGCGGAGAGGTGAGTAGACAAAGGAATCACTGACGGCTCAGACAGCGAGAAAAACACAGAGTACAAACTCGAGGTAGCTAGGAGGTACCAAAACTGGGCAACACTCAGGCGCCGAAGGACTGGTAGACCGCTCCTCAAAACCTGTCGCTGATGAGCTAATCCGAGGCCGGTGTGGGAGATGACGTCATCCACGCCCTCCGTCAAACTGATGGTGCCATCTGGTGAGGAAACAAAGGTGGTGCATGCACCCAAAACCCCTACAGCGAGAACCTAACAACCCTGGATCCTGACAAACTTGCTTAAAAAATAAAAAGTGTGGAACCGTTTTCACAAAATGTAATTAAATAAATGAGTCACTAAGCAGATACATGACTCCAATTCAGTCAGCTTAATTCATTTCAACCCAGTTCATAATAAAATTATAAATTTAGAATTAGTGTTATCAAGGCCAGTTTGGTTCAGAATATATTATGAGATATATGATGACCAGTTATATGCTATAACTGGTTAAGATATTTTACATCTGAGGAATTCCAAATGATTTTGTTGGATGAAATGACTTTCCTTCAACAGGAAGACACCAAGCGTGTGCTGCTGACCAAGAATTGAGCCTGGGTGGCTTTTCATGGAAGGAAGCATTGATGTACCTTACATCAGATCTGTTGTGCTGAATGTGGTGAATAACCGTTCATTTGTCCAAATCATTTGGTTGGTACTAAATCTAATTTTATTTACAGTTATCTAGTGGATCCTCCAATATTACCAATGCCAGACAGAGCAGCTAAATGTATCCATAAAATATGTGTGTGTAAAAATTAAACACACAATCCAAATTGACATAATTCAGAAAATAATGTCAATCATAGATTCATTGCTCTCTACATGCATATGTGTCATGTATATTTCACAGTCTGTTTGTTTTGCTGGATTCATTCATGTGAAATGGCTGAATATCATGCCTGATGCTTAAACTCTGACTCCCATTTATATTCCATGTGTAATTTCTATCTGTGTCTGATCAAATTTCCAGTGGAGTCAACTCAGCATGGCGGTATAATCACTTCTGAGTTTAAACACCAATTTAGCTTTTACTTTGCTTTGCACTAAGTGCCCTACACTATTTCACATTAAAAGCCTTCCAGCAGTCAGGAATGTATTCCCTCCTTTTCCTCAAAGGCTTTTAGAGTCAAACATTTATCAAAGGCTTCAAGCTCTGTTAGCTGTACTGTAACAATAAACCACAACAACAGCAACAAGAAAGTGGCAGCAATCGGAATTATGTAGTGTCTGGAAAAGGTATTTCTTTTAAAAGGGATGGAGTGGTACTTGGGGGAAATGACAATAGTGTCCTTGACTTAAGTATATTGCTGCTGTTATGAAGATGGAAAACAAAATAAATGCCTCTCCGTTGTTTCCCTGTTTGTTCATGTTAGCAAAATGCTGCAATAAATACTCATTTTCACTTCAAAGACTTGTAATGTCCATTATTCACAAGAGACTGATAAAGAAACTCCATTAACAGTAGCTTCTTAAAGCCTTTTAGCTGTAGTGGTAAAGTAAGAAGACGAGCTGAATTCAGCAAGTGAATTTGGGGGACCAGTTGATTGGTGGGCTGTGGGGGGCTCCCTAGATGGGTGCAGTAGGTAATGGAGCTTTTAGCATAGAATAAGAATTAGGAAGAGCTGCTGTGTGTTTGACATGAAGTTGTTCTAAAAGACCATAGCTTCCCTGTGGAAACACTGGAGGGTCCCTGTCAGTACATTCATATATGGGTGGCAACGGGGCTTTAGGCAGCCTCCAAGATCACCATTACCTCTGGGTTTATACTGAACTAAGAAAGAACAAAGAAGGGATTATTAAAGTGTCAGTAGTGGCATGGCTCGGGCTCAGAGGAAGCATTTATGTTTCCTCTGAAACATAAATGACTTTTGGATTCATTAAGTATTTGCATGAGCTATGAGAGCACATGGTAGACTTAAATTAATATAGTATCTGGCAGCAAAAATCCCAAATTGCCTCCAAAAACATTAAATATGGGAAAAGGAAAGGTCAGAGTTTGGCATGAATTGTCCCAAATGGAGACCTGCATGGGCTCCAGTTTGTAAAATTACAATAAAAAATTAAGAGCAATAATTTGGGTTTCCCCATCATAAGAGTAAAAATGGGGGTGTGTCATTTTTCAAAATCACATTTTCATTGCTTTGTTTTTTTCATTAATTTCTAAATTTCACAATTTCAAACTAAATAGTTACCAAAGTAAATATTTAAATGTTAAATATTTCAATATTTAAATAGCTAACTAAATATTGAATACCAAATAACTAAACATTCGGTTAGCCAATTAAGGATTTACTTAGCAAGCAAAGTATTTACTTTAAAGCTAAATACTTAGTTCAGAGCTAAATATTTAGCTTCCTTACAAAATATCTATGGGGTGCCATAACACAAATTATTGTTACAATTTTTGACTGTGTAATTTTACAAACTGACAATGACACCTCGTAAACCAATTATGTATTAATTGGTTTTATTTTGTAACCAGGTTAGTGTGTATTGCAGACTTTTGCCCAGGTCCCTCTTGAAAGTTGTCTCTTTTGTTTAAAGAATGTCCTCAACAGCCTTCTGCACAATGTGACTCCCTGACCTCGTGCATATCTACTGCGTGACCCCATCAAACTCTGTGTTGTTTGAAAAAAATCTAGTTGTGTAAAAAGTATCACTGTTGTTCACTGCTTAGAGTGACTCTTGCACTCCCCTCCAACTAAAAAACCGAATGGAAGTTTTGGATTATGTGTTACATGTAGTGACAGAAAATTCAAAGGGTATAAATTGATTTCAGGCTCTTCTACATGTCAGAAATCATAGTGTTTTTTCCTCTGTAGCCTATCTTGATATTGTCGCCCAGACCGTTCTTTGGAGGGTCTGTTGTTTCACATTGAGCAACTGCAAGAAAGGCTCATATTACACCACTGTGAACCTTTTTATTGTCTGTCATGATCAAGCTGTTTACGTAGAAATCTCTTCATGGTAGGGCTGCTTCTCACATCACCACACTTTTAAATTACAACTACTCTAACTAGTCCCTTCGATCAGCTAATCAGAGGCTTTGAAGAGTGCAGCGCTTTAAGCGGAAAGTCAGAGGAGTTCTCATTACAATACTGTCTACTTCTACCATTGAGTCTTTTAAGACTGAAAAATGAAAACCTTTGCAAACTCAGTGGAATTTGATTATTTTTTTTAAATCTATCTCTGGACTTGTCTTCCATGACTTTGTATGTGTAGCTTCCCAAAATCCATATCAGTGTGTTTATCAGTTGTCTGTAACTGAACTATATTCTGAAGACAAAAGGGTGATAACATCCCGCTTCCCTTTGTTGTCTCGTGCAGGGTTCCTGAGTACAGGTGACCAAGCAGCCAAAGGGAACTATGGTTTGTTGGATCAGATCCAGGCTCTGCGTTGGACTAGTGAGAACATAGCAGCGTTTGGTGGTGACCCGCTACGCATCACTGTGTTTGGCTCTGGTGCTGGGGCATCATGTGTGAATCTCCTCACTCTGTCTCACTATTCAGAGGGCAACCGCTGGAGTAACTCCACTAAAGGTAAACCTCACTTAACAAGTGTTCTTAGAAAATGATTAATTGTTTTATTGTCTCACATGTAAACCGGTAATTTAGGAAGGTTTGAAAGCTGAATTTTTAGCCTGTTTCTTTTTTGCTATATAATGTGATAATTACCCAATTAAAGATAAAAAATAAATAAATAAAAAAAAAAACATAAATAATCATTTCATTTAATTTCCAAGAAGTGCAGGTGGTTGATGAATCCAAATACCTTGGTGTTGATCTAGACAACAGATTGAATTTGACTTAATATGAGTTACAACAACATTTAGTTTTCTTTTGGGAATAAAGTATTTTTAAATAGACTTGAATTCAATAGGCTAGTCATAATGGAAACTCTCCAATGTGAGTCATTAAAAACTATTAAGCAAAGAGGAATTGAAAATGTATGAATATACGTGGCGCTTTTCCAGACACTAGAGCCATATTCTCACTCACAAACAGCTGCACATTTATACAAGATCAAAATGTGGAAGCTGGAGTAAAACTTACAACTTTATGATGGGAAGCCAAATGTTCTTCCAAAGGCCACTGAGTCACAGTTGCCAAATGGGCCAAAATCAATCCACAGTAATGTAAAAGATTTATTACCATGATACAGTTAGGGCCAGAAATATTTGGACAGTGACACAGGTTTTGTTATTTTAGCTGTTGACAAAAATATGTTCAGAAATACAATTTATATATAATATGGGCTGAAAGTGCACACTCCCAGCTGCAATATGAAAGTTTCCACATCCAAATCGGAGAAAAGGTTTAGGAATCATAGCTCTGTAATGCAGAGCCTCCTCTTTTTCAAGGGACCAAAAGTAATTGGACAATGGACTCCAAAGGCTGCAAGTAACTCAAAAGGCCTTTCCCTCGTTAACCTGTAATCAAGTAAGTAGTTAAAAGGTCTGGGGTTGTTTCCAGGTGTGTGGTTTTGCATTTGGAAGCTGTTGCTGTGACCAGACAACATGCGGTCAAAGGAGCTCTCAATTGAGGTGAAGCAGAACATCCTGAGGCTGAAAAAAAGAAAAAATCCATCAGAGAGATAGCAGACATGCTTGGAGTAGCAAAATCAACAGTCGGGTACATTCTGAGGAAAAAAGGAATTGACTGGTGAGCTTGGGAACTCAAAAAGGCCTGGGCGTCCACGGAAGACAACGGTGGTGGATGATCGCCGCATACTTTCTTTGGTGAAGAAGGACCCGTTCACAACATCAACTGAGGTCCAGAACACTCTCAGGGAAGTAGATGTATCTGTCTCTAAGTCAACAGTAAAGAGAAGACTCCATAAAAGCAAATACAAAGGGTTCACATGTAGATGCAAACCATTCATCAATTCCAAAAAGAGACAGGCCAGAGTTAAATTTGCCCAAAAACACCTCAAGAAGCCAGCCCAGTTCTGGAAAAGTATTCTATGGACAGATGAGACAAAGATCAACCTGTACCAGAATGATGGGAAGAAAAAAGTTTGGAGAAGAAAGGGAACAGCACATGATCCAAGGCACACCAGATCCTCTGTAAAACATGGTGGAGACAACGTGATGGCATGGGCATGCATGGCTTTCAATGGCACTGGGTGACTTGTGTTTATTGATGACATAACAGCAGACAAGAGTAGCCGGATGAATTCTGAAGTGTACCGGGATATACTGTCAGCCCAGATTCAGCCAAATGCTGCAAAGTTGATTGGACGGCGCTTCACAGTACAGATGGACAATGACCCCAAGCATACAGCCAAAGCTACCCAGGAGTTCATGAGAGCAAAAGGTGGAATATTCTGCAATGGCCAAGTCAATCACCAGATCTTAACCCAATTGAGCATGCATTTCACTTGCTCAAATCCAGACTTCAGACGGAAAGACCCACTAACAAGCAAGACCTGAAGGCTGCGGCTGTAAAGGCCTGGCAAAGCATTAAGAAGGAGGAAACCCAGCGTTTGGTGATGTCCATGGGTTCCAGACTTAAGGCAGTGATTGCCTCCAAAGGATTCGCAACAAAATATTGAGAAAAAACTTTTTTGTTTGGGTTATGTTTATATGTCCAATTACTTTTGAGCTCCTAAAATGTGGAGTGTTTGTAAACAAATGTGTACAATTCCTACATTTTCTATCACATATTTTTGTTCAACCCTTTAAATTAAACGTTACAATCTGCACTTGAATTCTGTTGTAGAGGTTTCATTTCAAATCCAATGCGGTGGCATGCAGAGCCCAACTCACAAATATTGTGTTACTGTCCAAATATTTCTGGCCCTAACTGTAAGTTGTTGATGGTAGATCTTGTGGGAAATTATTGCAAAACCAGCCATTATTTAGGAGGAGGTGGAATTGTTTTTCTGTTAGGTAGAGTGCTTTAGACACTTTTCCCAAATATTATCTTCATCTGAGAATAAATTTGTTCAGTTATACATTCAAGTGGAGCAAAAACAGACAACATTGAAAAATTTGGTTTGGTAGCAATTCATTTTATAGCACTTATCTGTCTCCTTCAATGTTTGATTTTCTCTACCGTACCGTACATTTTGAAATTAAGTAGTACTTGAAAGTAATATTTCTTGCCTTCACTGCCAAGGTCAATCTGTCAAACATGTTCTTAAAAATTCCTCAGTCCTAAAAAAGAAAGCAAAAGAAAGCAAGAGTTTACATAATTTCATCAACTGTTTTTTTTTTTTTTTTTAGTTTGTTCACTTAAACTGTCTTCATCTTATCTAAAAACAAATCTAAGTATATTACCCTGTGTGTTTTTGTCCACAGGTCTTTTTCAGAGGGCCATTGCCCAGAGTGGGACAGCTCTATCCAGCTGGGCTGTCAGTTTCCAGCCAGCCAAGTATGCGCGGATGCTGGCCCATAAGGTGGGCTGTAACCTGGAGGACACCGTAGAACTTGTTGTGTGCCTGCAAAGAAAACATTACAAGGAGCTTGTAGATCAAGACATCCAGCCAGCCCGCTACCACATTGCCTTTGGCCCGGTGATTGATGGAGATGTAATACCTGATGATCCTCAGATACTGATGGAGCAAGGTATCAGTTAAACTTACCATGCTTTACTGAAGACCTATTTTGCTCTGGATTTTGATCTAATTGTGGTCTTTGCTTATGTTTACAGGTGAGTTTCTCAACTATGACATAATGCTAGGAGTGAACCAGGGTGAGGGCCTAAAGTTTGTGGAGCTCATCGTTGACAATGACAATGGTGTCCAGGCCAATGACTTTGACTATGCAGTGTCCAGCTTTGTTGATGACCTTTATGGTTACCCAGAGGGTAAAGACATCCTGCGTGAAACCATCAAGTTTATGTACACGGACTGGGCCGACAGGCACAACCCAGAGACCCGGCGGAAGACTTTGCTGGCCCTGTTTACTGATCACCAGTGGGTAGCACCTGCTGTAGCAACAGCAGATCTGCACTCAAGTTTTGGGTCGCCAACATACTTTTATGCCTTCTACCATCACTGTCAGACAGAACAGGTATGTCTCTATATGGTTGTACCATGGGTTCTTCTAATCTGGTTCAATTTAGAAAGCCAGAAAAGACTGATCAACAGCTTCATGATGTTGTGCTCTGGCCCCAAGAGAGAAGGTCTTGGGGACATAACAGAGTAGAGTACAGTGTACAGATGGGAACTGTATTATTATCTATTCCAGTCAAGTCACAGTTGCAAATGGAGAAAGCAGAAATTATATCTATTAAGGATATCTTTAATATACAAATAAGCCTACCGTGAGATATTTTACCATCTTCTCAATGTAGGCTTTTGCTATTGCAAACTGGTCTTGGATAAGCCAATGGCAGGTATTTAAGTATTAGATTTTCTAATTGCAGTCCAATCTTTTGTCATTTTATAGTTTATTTTATTTTTAAGATTATTTAAATAATAGATATTTAAATAATCTTCAAAATAAAAGGTATAGGTATATGTAATTTTCTAATACCTATCCTGAATCTGAATATTAAAAGAAGTTAACTCTGATCTATGAGCTTCAATGAGTTTCTTTTCAAAATGTTGAGCAACCACACTATTTGAATTTTCAAAGATTTGATTTTTTAAAGACCTTTGTCTCCCAGTGTAACACATTTCTATTCAACATAATGCCCTGAAATTTGCCAATCTAAACACTTATTGAACAATTTGTGACAAGTAATACACCAAAATTGACTCCAAAAATCTGCAACACATAATTCAATATTAAAAATTTTACATCCATATTCTTCCTCAACTGAATGTATTTTCCACAGGCATGATGTGTTAGTGCTTGTCAAACATTTTTTTTATGCTGCGATGCTTTGCCATCTAATGTTTTGCATCTGCCACAGACATAATAATATTGATTTGATTTGTTTCATCTGCTGCTCATTAGGTACCACCGTGGGCAGATGCAGCGCATGGAGATGAGATCCCATATGTGTTTGGGCTGCCGATGATTGGACCGACAGAGCTGTTTCCATGCAACTTCTCTAAGAATGATGTGATGCTGAGTGCTGTTGTCATGACCTACTGGACAAATTTTGCCAAGACCGGGTATGAACACATTAGAAAATTTTCTAATGATGCTAGGTTCTTATGTAGAAAACGAGACATTATGTTTGTCATTTAATATTGACTGAGCTTGAAATATAGGAAATTCTGTAGTTGATGTTACTACCCACATACTAAATTGGCTTCAGTAAAAATTAAAAAATACTGAAATTCAACTGAAAAATCATGAAAGTAAAATGAAACTATATGTGGATATGATGGAGTTAAACAGGGATGAATTTAAAACTCTGCAGTAAATACCCCAAAGCAGGGATCAGGAATCAACTGTTTGTCTCCAGAGTCAAACACATATTAGGATAATTACATGAAACTTGTGCCAATAGCCCACATTGGCGACTTTTGGGATATTATGTCTTCAGTTGAACCCTAGTTCAAAATAATTACATTGATATTAATTTGTTAAAAAATTGAAATTAAACACATTAAAATTATTCTCAAATACTGTTCAAGGCTAAAATAGCATCACAATGCTAAACATGTAGCATTACTGCAGACATTCCCAAAGTTAACATTAAGTGAACATTCCACATTTCTAAAGAAGCTCCATGAATTATCAGGAGCTCCTGAAACTCTGGAAAGATGAATGGATAGAATAGAACTTTGCACTCATTTGACGGTTGTAGAATCTGAAAAACAGATTAAAAACAACAAACATCTATGTTATTTAGCTTACATGTCTGTTTACTCAATAATTTTGCAGCAAAAAGATTTGTTTTAATTGAAAATGTGGCATATTTTATCACATAGCTTTTAATTAAAATGTTATTAATTGCAGTTAATTAAATACAGACCCTGCAACAGAGGTGAATCTGGCACCATAAGAGGGACTTTTCTGATTTAATCCATCTCCATGACATTACAATTATACAAGCCACTACTGCTAAAAAAATAAAAAATAAAAAAAAACAGCCCACAGAACAAGGTCTCCTTATTCTGTGGGCTGTGGCGAGATTAGCCTGCTCCTGGCTGCACATAGAGACTCAAATCTGATTGGATGAAACACACAAAGATGTATGGGAAGTGGCACAGCTCAGACAAACATAAGAAACAAGAGTAGACTATTTGAAATAAATTCAGAAAATGTAATTGAACAAACATAATTTAGGTGTTAGATATGTCTTAAGGGTTCTGATAGAGCAGCGGAGAAGGCCTTGCAGGCCCTGTCGGCCCATCACTGCACTGCAATCAACTCGATTAAAAATGTTAATGGAGTCCCACCACTAGTTAGAAGCGACATTTTGTAAAGAGCTTTGTTCCAGGATAATTAGGCAACATACAACTGCCATTACAAGACCATGAACAAGTCAATAATTTTATTGTAATTGTGTTTCTACAATATTAAATTTTGTCTGATGACTGGGGGGGTCATGAACAGCTCTGCTGCGTTTTATGGACCGCACAATGTCATTGGTATTCTTCTTACACACCCTGCACATATCTTTAAATTCATTATTAATTAATGGTCATGCACTGCAAAGGGAGATTCTTTATGACCTAAAATTAAAATTCCTTTTTCTTTCTTCTTTCTCATGTTGCCTTCCAGCATCCAGCTACTGCTGTAATTGTTTTTTGGAGGCATAATAGGGGTACATTGGCTTTTTCTGAGCCCTGCGCAGTAACCCTAAGGGGAACAGAGAGCCACTAATGATCTACATATATAACCCCAAATTGACGTGGAATGCTCGGTACCTGGGAGATTTATGACATGCATTTGAATGGCTAGGCATGTTCCTGATGAACTTTGGCCGTCTCCTTATGCCGCTCCCAGACAATAGGGCGCTCAGTAAAGCTGAATGGGCCACTGCAACACAGTGCTCAGCTCAGATTAGGAGTTTATAGCACAGGATTTCATGTTCAATGTCTTCTAAAAATCCATTTATCTGTTAAACTTATGGAGGGTTTTCATATGAAATGCTTATCAGTGTTTAAACTGACTGTGATCCTTGTGGTATTAAGTCCAGTGGCTAACATGTGAGGTCGATGGAGCATAATATGATGTTTTAATTACAGCAAACGTAATGAGATAATCTGCATGGCTGAACTCCATCTTGACACTGACAGCATCTTTGGTGAAAGCATACATAATTTATGTATAAATATGCTCACTTCAAGTAATAAAAAATAATAATTTAATCTCTGACATGAAGTTTTATCATAATTTTTTTATCATTCAACTGTAAGATTAAAAATTGATCATATGAGGCTGCTCTTTACTTAAAGGCCACTGATTCTGACAGAAAATGTATAAAAATAAAAACTTCTGAGCTTTTATGGAGTTTATCGAATGTGATTTCTGACACCATGATGACTCACATTATATGAAACCTGTGGGCTGCACTTCACTACTCCATTACAACATTGTTATAATTATACCGATTAGCCTGTGGCAAATGTCATGTCCAGTTCAATATTCTAATTTTAATAATTATACAGTGTGGCTTCAAAAGGTTCACTAAGCTCTCAGTTTAAGTTTTAATTCTGATTGCAACATTTTAAATGTGCTTCATGCTATATTGGCTTTATGCAGTATTGCAATATTGCATTGAAGAAAGTGTTTGCCTTCTTTTAGACTAAAATAAGCTCAGTTAGGTTAATGAACTTCTGAAAGTTTATTCACTTTCAGAAGTTCATTAACCTAACTAAGTTTATTAACCTAACAAAAGATTTATAAAGATGTGGAAGAATCTTAGACCATTCATGTATTTTGGTTACCTGGTGAAAGTCCAGCGCCTTGTTTTAAATTTTGCTTCGTTCAGAGACTATGTAGACGTGAAACCAATCTTATCTACTGGTCCACCTCAGCAAAAGGTATATAAATCAAGCACTGTCCTCTTCTTCTCCATGAAAGAGGTTTGACAGACAGACCGGCCCACCGGGTCATGTCTTCATGTTTGCAGTTAATAATAATCACTCCACTGTTGCCAACTCAGCGATTCGCTTGCTATATTTAGCGACATTTCAAAGAAAACATTTATTGGCTCAATTGGGATCATCAGGTTAAGCTTTTTAAAGATCAGTAATTGGTGATTTCAGAGAAAAGTGCAATTGGTGCACCCCTACTTAACACTGTTAAAATTTAAAACGATTGGGTCTGATTTTATAACATTTCTTATTTTAATTATATATAACAATACAATCAAGGTCATGACTTCTTAAAAAGGCATAAAAAGGCTTCCTCTGACTCCATCTTCCAGACCAGGGGTGTGTATGTGTGTATATGTGTATCCTCTGCATTCAATGAGTATTTATTACCCCCAAATAATGTTGAATGTGCTTTTACATCAAATAATTTGGCAGAATACAGTTAGAATATACTTAGAATTGAGAAGACAATTTTAAAGCACTCAAATATTTTCCTTGAAGGTTCTGTTTATGCAGCCCTTTAGAAGGGCCACATAAAAAGCTGTGGCGGGCCAATTTTGTCCCCCAGGCCTTGAGTTTGACATGTGTTCCCATAAAATGTTGCTGTTTTACTGTCATAACCTTTCTTGTTTAAACAATAACATTTTATTTTAAGGACATATAAATCTTGTTATGAAGTGATCTGAACTTACAATGAGAAAAAACAACAACTTTTTGCTGGAACTCTACTCCTGTATTTCCTAGTTCTGGCATTTCCTATGCTTCAGTAATCTGGCTAACTTCAAACACTTATTCAATAAAATTACATTTTTTAAGCAGATTTTCTAAAAACATTTGGGTATGACAAAAAAAAAAAAAACATTCCCACAGAACTGTATGTAACATTCTTATGGATGCTCCAGAAGAGGACTGGGGCAGCCATGACATCTTGTATGTTTCTGTTTTCTTGAAACAAATACTCTAATTTAACTTTCTTTTCAGGGACCCAAACCAACCTGTACCACAAGACACCAAGTTCATCCACACAAAGCCCAATCGCTTTGAAGAAGTGGCATGGACACGCTACAACCAGAAGGACCAGCTCTATCTGCATATCGGCCTGAAGCCTCGGGTCAAAGAGCATTACCGGGCAAACAAGGTTAACTAGCATCCTGTGTCTGATTCATTTAGTCTTTTAGTATTTAATATAATTGTATTTAATGATTTATGTTTTTAGCATTAAATAAGTCTTGCAGCTTGGGCCTTTTAAAAGCTGCCTACATTTCAGGTACACAATGTTAATTAGAGGTTAATGTTACAAAAGGGATAAAGACTCCAAAATGTTAGCATTAAACACCATCAGCAAGATTTCATAACAAAATAGGTGTGTCTGACAACTTTGTTAGAGATCAGTTGTAATATTTTATGGGCAAGTGTGTAGCTGTTGTAGTACAGAACTAATGCTACCTGTAAATATTATAAACTTAGCGCCGTCTTTTGGTTGTTTATTCCCAACAAATAGGGCTGTTTAGGCTTTTTTCATCAAGCACCGTGCCTTCATGTACAATACCTATTTTTTCCACCAGGAAGCTGACTGTAGATCCACTAACTACAGTCAGTTTTGTAATTTAATACTTTTGCACATCTTCTACTTTAAAAAAACGTTTCACTTTAATAAAAAGCTAACTTTAGTTTAAGTTATCATAATGCCGTCTTGGTCTTCCCTCAGGTCAACCTATGGTTGGAGCTGGTTCCTCATCTACACAGTCTCAATGAGGTCACCCCACTCATCCCTACCACTACCAAGGTTAGTGGCAGCCACAGTTGCTCTGCTGTAGCTCACCAAGTCACAATATGGCATTATTTTTGTCATTATTGGAACCCCTTAAAATGTGTTTCAGATATTCCCACATATGTTGTAACAAAAAAAAATGCCTGCATAAGAGGGCCTTATGTAAAAGGCTCTCTTATGCAGGCTTAAGAGAGCCTGCATAATTATATATACAGAGAGCTTAAGAGAGCCTGCATAAACAAATGCTATATAACTTACTTGAACTATAGCAGCGATGTAAAGAGCAGGCCAGGATTCCTCCACAACGTGAAGGACTGATAAAGTTATAGACATCCACTTCAAGTTGTTGCTGACATTTTCATCTAGTTGTAGATATGGAATTCAAATGGAATAGAAAGCACATTTCAGAGCAAAAGATTTTTCTATAGAAAAGATAATATTACGAGACTATGGTCTTATAAAGTCAATTACACCCCTAATAGCCTTAAACTTTTGCTGTCTAAAATCATTTCCAGTTGTGAAATAAATACAGAAGCATCTTACTAATGACATTATTAATGAGATTTTAAAACTTGTTATAACAAGATTCATATCTCATTGAAATCAGAATAACAAAGGCTGTAACAATAAAATGGTTACACTTCTCTGGATTATTGTTATAACAAAAAACTTTCTCCTATCACCGTGAAAGAGTCATAGTTCCTGAATTTATCTCCAAGCTTTGACTCCTACATACTTCTGAGTCGAACAGAATTACATTCAGGTCTCAAGTTCTGATTTGACATTTATGGGAAAACGTTAATAGCAAGAAGCTGGTAAAGTGCTCCCAGCATTTATTTGTCATCAAAAGGCCAGAAGCAGTTAAAGGTGTAGAAGTGTCAAAGCTAGAATAAAATCTTTATCTGGTCTTCTATCTTTGTACAGATTCCCCCTCCGGAAGCCACTAACCGCACACCAAAGACCAAAGTTCTGGTTACCAAGCGTCCAAACCCAACTCCGTTCCCCACCGAGACGCAGGGCAGCCACAACCAGCCTCACCTGGTGGACCAGCGGGATTACTCCACAGAACTTTCAGTGACTATTGCTGTCGGAGCTTCTTTGCTTTTCCTCAACATCCTGGCCTTTGCTGCTCTTTACTATAAAAAGGACAAGAGGAGGCATGACGTCCACCGTCGCTGCAGCCCACAGCGGAGCGCCGCCAACGACCTGGCTCACACTCAGGAGGAGGAGATTATGTCTCTGCAGATGAAGCAGCACTCTGACCTGGACAGGGACTGCAGAGGGGTGGGGGACTCCCTCCACGCACATGACGTGGTCCTGAGGACTGCCTGCCCCCCTGACTACACCCTGGCTATGAGGCGCTCACCAGACGACATTCCACTCATGACACCAAACACCATAACCATGATCCCCAGCACCATGGGAGGCCTCACCTCACTCCACTCATTTAACACATATCCCAGCAGTGGGCAGAACAACACTCTGCCTCATCCACATCCACACTCACACTCCACCACCCGGGTATAGCGCAGTGGATGGACCCATACAGGCAGGACTCTGGCGACTCAGGCAACAAGCTAACTGCAGCGCTGCAGAGGAAAGTCCAGGACGACCTGCTGAAAGACAGACTTTTCAGGAGTTAAACCGCCGGCCCAGAGATGCCAAGATCCGGGCCGATGGAATTACACTGGAATTATACCACATTTTGTTGATACCAGAGGAAATATAATAAAATGTTTCAGATGCTTTGGATCAGAGAATCAAAAAATAATAATATTAGTAATTATGGTTTTGTAGGAAAAAAATAAAGGAAAGACATGAGGGGAAAAAAGTTACAGCAGAACAACATCTCACAATCTGGAACATTTGAGAAAGACTTTTTTTTATCATTATTTTTGTTCTGGTATTACAGCAACAAAAAGGAACAGTGAAACACTTTTTCTCTCTAGCGACAGCTATGGCCTTCGGGATTTTCTGACAAACGACTGCTTGACAGTATTATCTGGAAGCAGCACGGAGCATCAGACAAGCCTTGGAGGTGAGAAGAGGGGAGCACTTTGTAAAGGAAAGAAAACATATTGTTTTCCTTTGGCATTACTCTGCAGAACACTCTGTGGGGCACAAACCAGACGCCGTGCTAACCAGTCGAGGCATGTCCGAGGGTCGTAAACGGAGGCTGTGTAAGATAAGCCAAAAGCAACAGAGTAAAGCAAAGAACTGAAAACTTTAAGATAAGACGACCCTGTATGCACAACAGAACCATTTTGAGGAGGAAAAAAAAAATCTTGCAAATACTTTTCATCCTTTTATTTTTGATTGAAACAGTTTTATTGTATAGGACCTATTTACATATCTAAGCACCAAGGCTGTTTAAGCCCACTTCTCTTGGGCGGGGTGTTCACACTGCAACCTGCCAGTCGGACCGGGACGTAGGAAGTGAGAACGCACTGAGCGGTTTTCTGGCAGTTCCAACTTCAACACAGAGAGCTGGGGGGACAAAGGATAATTGGGATATTTTAGCACGATGCGCATGACAATTTACCTGCTTGATGGCTGCTCTGCTGATTATGTCATTAATAAGAATAATTTTCACCCTGTTCTTTGTGTTGGGGAGATTCAAGACCTATTTCCTTATTGGATAACTAGAAAACACAATGCTCTCATGGAACCTTGGGAAATGCAGTCCCGGTTTGTGGATGTCACTGGATGGATTTAGATAGTAAAACAAAACAAACAAAAAAAAAAAAATGGGGGTGGGCATATGGTAAAGATTTCTTGCATAACATAATATAGCTTGAGTGGGCTGGACATATAAGGACTAGTTTTGTACTCTATGTGTTGGTACTACTTTTTGATAGTGGGTAAATCACATTACATTGTATCAATCAAACCCATTGTACCTTCAGTTGAAATCAATGTTTTTTGCTGTTCTACCTATTGGTGCACCGGACCGGACCGTATCAAAGTAATTACCTACACTGTTTATTCCATTGACCTCTCATCATCCCAATGTCCCCCCAAAAAATTGACACTTTAAGATAAAAATATAACACAGTGGAACCCAATTGGTAAGGAAAATGGAGGGTGAAATGATTGAAAAATATAGAGAAGAATTCCATCTCCAGGCGAAGTAGATTTGCTAATGATTTATCCAACAAAGCTCTGAACTCCAGAGCTACTTAAACATGACTGCCTATAGATGTTTAATTCAAGATAAAAGCCAGACAGATCACACGGGGTGGGAGTCAACGGAAATGCACAGCAGGAGGCTGAGAGGAAGAGCGAGTATCAGGCTGGGTCAATTCCCACGATGCACTTTTCATGTAGTTTTCATCATTAGCCAAGTTGAATCAAGTTAGGTGGTACTTTGTGTTGGAGAGATGTCGGTGTGTCTGCCAGTAAAGCAAGATGATCAAAAGCAAAAAGTCTTACCTCTTCAACTTAATGTCTTTCTTTTGCTTTTTTCCTATATATACACACACAAAGTGCTGTGCTCCAAATCTCTGCCATGGTGTCAGAGTTAATAAAAGGTACCCACTTCTTTAAAAGGGCAGCTCAGGTTCTGTTAAAAGCTTATACGCAGTTAATGTTTTATGCACAGCACATGAATCTCTTACCCTCTTAATTAAGCATGAACCAAAATGAAGTTTGTCCCAGAGGCTGATGCTGATGACTGGTCCAAAAGGAGCCAAGACCGAGGTGGATATCTACTGTCCTAACACACAACCCCAATATAAAAAAAAACATCACAGCAGTTCAATAGTTTATATTTTTATGTAAACAGAAGTCATCCAAACATCATGCATATTTTAAGTAAAATTTGAAAATGTTGCTGACTAAAAACAACAAAGGAAAAGCGAATTCGGCGTGTTTCCTTCTTCTGGTTGAGATTCCATAAGATGTTGTTGACACGTAACAAACAGGAAGTAGAAGTTGAAAACTAGCATGGATCACACATCTTAGAGAAATGAACAGAGGTTTTCAGGAGTTTACTGCTATCAGACAAGTTCCAATTGTTCTGTTATCCCAACTAGTATTGATGATGTTGCAATTTTAATGCACACAAACAGCTGATCAGTCATGTGAGGGAAATGTTCGCAACATCAGAACTTATTCAACAAATGTGTCTCTTTCACTCCTTTAGCCCATTAACTCAGAAAAGCCACATAAGAAAAAGGTTGCTGTAATCACAGCCTGTGATTGTTTCCAAGAGTAAATGGAGTTCGGATGTTTTGTACACGTGAAACTCACTTAGCACCAAACATCTGGTCAGAGTAACTGTCGGATCTGAAAGTAAATCAGTCTGAAAACCAGTAGACTTGTATAATTTTTACCTTACACAGTATTTCATGTTTATTTTATTTTATTTTACTTTATTTTAAGAACATAGAAGCAGAAGTCTGTGTTGGTCTTGGTCGCTTTCAGGATGTTTTCAACCTTCTGAACCAGCTAATCTAAACGTCTATTAATTGAAGACACAAAGAAAGTTTCTAGCTGCAATTGGATTTTTCTTCCTTCCTTTTGGAATAAGTTTAATCTTTTGAAAATTTGACTTGCTGTTTTATCTGGATAGATCTTTCTGTCTACATATGTTTCATTGTGTTTATTGTTTCTGTTTTCCATTCGCCCATCTTGAGATTGCTGCTTTGTGTTTTGAGTTGCCATAAGGATAATTAAATCAACCTTTTAGTAACTATTCTTTCTCTACTCTTAAGGTTTCTTGGAATAGGTGTGATGTACATTCAAAATGTTTTGGCTTAACTGACTAGCCGACTTTCAAGTAAATAAAAAAAAACAAAAAAGAACTATGGTTTCAGTTTGCTGAGTCACTTCCATGAAGGCCATCAGCTGATCTGTGACCCCCAATAACTTCAGCATCTTTTTCTTCAGATGATATTATTAGCTATTCACGCAAATCACTAGGTTACTCTGCATGTACTATTTTTATTATCAATTTACCTACTGTCTTAGAGAATTTATGTTTGCCTATGTTTCTTTTCTAGATAAAGTCACCAAAGGAGCTAATCCTGCCATTAACTCGGTTCTCAGATTAAATTGGAGCATTGTATGATTTATCTGTATGATTGGATGGGACTGAATTGACAACATGCTTGTATAAAGAACCATCTGTTCCTCTTGTAAAGTCCATTGAGGAAGCATTTGTTGTAAATGCTAAAAGATCTACAAGGAGTTAAAACATGATCAGTTGACCAGTCAGCCTTGAGCTGAATTGTATTTAAAGGTTTCTTAATATGAAATGTTTTCTTTTAATGTAACTTTGCTCAAAAAAGTTAAACACTAGCTTTCATTAGCAGAGATGTTATAAGTTCATTTAATATTTCTGGCTATTTTCTTGACATCCATATTGTGAGGAATTACAGAGGAGCTTGTTTCTGGGTTCAGGTTTATTACCAATCATTTGTTGCAGTTTAAATTCCTGAGACATCAAGAGTTGCAGAGTGAGCGGAGTTTCCACCGGAAGCGTAGCGCTCCCCCTCCCCAACATGTTTCTTCATGCCATTTAGCCAGCTGTCTAATTAAAGGGTATTCTCCAAAAGTTTGTTTAAAAAAGTACATATTTTCTTAATTTTTATTAGATTGTTTGTTTTGGAAGACATCTTAATAAAGAAAACATAAAAAAAAAAAAAAAAACATCAGGACTCTGCATGTCTGTTGGCAAAAAAGAAAAAAAAATGAGGAAAGAGATGTTGCAAACTCAATAATCTGACAAGGTCACCATTTACTACCACCTGTTTATACTTCTAGTTTCTTTTCAAGAAGCACAGAATCACATAATCCACAGAAACTTAACACAAACAGGAAGAAAATCTGCATTTGGTCATTTATTTCCACGTTGTTGATATGATTCTTGCCTCCTTAGCTTTTGCTGATGTAAATCCTGTTTTGTCTTTAAACTGAAAATTTGAAGGAAATTAGAAAATATTTGAGGGTTTCACAGACAAGTTGAGCATGGGGTAAAAGTATTTTGGCATTATAGAACGATAGAAACAGGCATTTTGGTTGTGACGGACACTAGCAATACCAGAACCAACAGGATAATCCCAAGTGTCCAGAGGGGTTAAAGACTGCAGACACTCAGTTTGATCCTCTCCACTCCCAAATTCTGGAGGAGGTCTCTGAAAAACCTGGCTCTGTTGGGGAGAGCATCGTTGTCTTGGCATGTTGAGTTTGGACCACGTCTGAGGAGATATTGGACCGTACTGGTTGTCAGATCTCACATCAGTTTCTCTCTGCATTGAGAATGATGATAAGCTGTCTAGTATCATCAGTACACTACCTCCTCTACAAACAGCTTGGCCCCGGCAGAGTGGATTTTAATTAAAACAGGCCATACTCGCTCCTCAGCTGATCAACCTGCAAATGGATTTTCCTTGCAAATGTAAGAGAAAATACACAACATTTATTGCCAAAAGTATTGGTACAGCAATACCAATCAAATACAGAATTCATTCCTTTTTGTGTTGAGTTTAGAATTTTGCACAACCAATAGGCTTCCTGTGTAAGTACAGCTAAATCTAGCTGGTCTGGTATGAGGTCCTGTTTGTTACTCAGTCAAAAATGAACAGGTTTTTAATGCATCATGGGAGACAAAATTAGGTGTTAATTTTTCAAAGTCATATTTTTCACCATATTATATAAATGTCACAGTTCAGTTCAAAATAAATATTGAATTGGCAAGCTGGAAATGTAGTTTCAAACTAAACATTTAGTTAATGAGCTAAATATTCAACTAGTTTGCTAACTGAATATTTACAAAGCTCACTTGCTGGCTATAAATATTTTTTTTTTTTTCAGTAAATATAAATTTGTGTGGAGAAAAATTTTATTTAACGGAATGTTTACTTAGGATGCTTTATATTTAGGCTGCTAACTAAATATCCTGCAGCTCCTTCAGGGCTCTCAAGACTGCTGAGGCTTAGGACAACATTTAAAAAAGTTAAGATGTTAATGAAACAGATATATAAAATGAAAAAATACATTGACTTCCAAACACTCACAATATTATAGATTATATGCTTTTCCAGCTCGGTTCATCCAGTGTTTGTTTAGATATTTACAGAGGCAGACATGTCGATGACTAGTGGAGACCAAACCTTTGCACAGCACTGTTTGGATAGGGAGGAAGATGCGGGGCCTCAGAGCTTGTTTTTAGTTGATGTTGAAGAGCTGTTGCATTCCTTTTCAGGGATTGTCTGGCTCATCTTTCCCGTCAAGCTGGCAGCTTGGACTGCTTAACAAAACGGCTCCCTTCGCATCTGTACAGTCTTCAGTAGGCCGCCTTCTGCGAGGGTGCCTGGTAACGTCTTTAGGTCAGTGAAGCCTCAGCATCTAACAATGTTAGCCACTGAGAAGGAATGAGTCATCCAGCCAAGCAGACTGCAGTCAAATCCCATGGCTTACAAGGTTTGAGTCACTGCGGGGGCAAAGTGGTGATTTTCAAAACACGCAGTGAAAGGAATGCCACAGATAGCCTTTGCTCAGATACAAAAATCTGTGTGCTGGCACAGAGAGGCTGCTTGTTAGGCTCAATTGCTTGTCTCCCTGTTTTCTTTTCACTAAAACGTAGACATGTGGAGGCCTCTGTACTGAGAGTACATCCTGCCCCTCTTGGCTCTCTCTCAAGCACTATGCAGTTCTTTAAAATAATGAATACAGACTGCTGCTGCTGCACCCAAGTTGGATGCAAGGTTAAATTTTGACATATTATAGGAAATGTTTAAAAAATCCTCAAAACTGATGCAAAATTGCTTGAGCATATTGGTTTATGTTCACCGTATTTCCTGCATGGAAATCAAACTGATTCAATATAGTGTGACATAATATTTATTAGACCCAGAAAGATCACCATGAGCTTTTGTTTGTAATTCCATTACTGTGATTTATTTTGAAGATGTGCCAGAGACCCTTCAACAATGAAACACTAAGTGGTCAGCTTTCTGTTGTTTCCACCGCAAGACAATAACAAGATAAACAAAGTTATAAAACACAACCTATCAGCACATAATTCCAATAAAACAACACGGCATTGTTAGGTCAAAAAACTATTAGCCCAATGTGAGCAGGCACTGCATTCAATTTGAAAACAATTGTGGTAACTATTATTGAAATATTAAATACCTCCATTATGTTTCTCGCCAAGTCATGAAGCACTTTTTCATTTTCTTTAATCTTCTGTCAGTTTTGTCTGCTCTCTGCATTTCTGGAGGGTTACATCATTAAGAAACCCGTGTGAAGCAGGAATGAAAGGATGACCCGAAAGGGTCACTATGACAACATGACAGTGATTGAAACCCAAATGACTAAACTGCTTCCATCAATCACTAGAATGACCTTAGCAAACACAGTGAGCATCACAACTGAGAAAATTATAAATTATTTGCTCTTAAATTTTAATTCACATTCTTATTGTTCTTCACACCTGTATTATTTTTCACTTATGCATTTCAACAAGTTGCAGTCTGTTTACGTGTTTTATAGTCACAGACTTATTAGTGATATCATAACTTATTATCATATTCCTGTGTTGTCCAAAATATTCAAGCATTGATTTAGTGCAGAGTGCAGTAGATTGCTTCATCACTGACTTTCTTTCTCTTGTGGCTCTACAAAAATTTATATATAAACAAATGCATGAATTAATTCATTTAAAAAGCAATAAAAATACACCCTGGATGGACGTGGTGACTGACCATGATGAGATTACTTTGCCTGGTGACATCTAATTAGGAAATCATTTGTTGCCTTTAAAGACTTACTTTTTTGTCATATTACAAAACACAAAAATTATTAACAAATAATTTAATTTTCCTTTACTAAAAGGCATTAGATTTATTTTATTTTTTATTTTTTCATTTTCTTTTTACTGTATCAGTTGACTGACAGCAAGTGTATTTATTCTATAGATCTTCACAGGGACTGGGACACTGCATTGTCAGTGGCGGTCTAAAGGCCAACCACTGAATTAAGCATGTAATTGCAGTAATGGGTAAATAGTCAAGCACGTACAGAGTCATACTAAGTAGCTGACAGTTCAGGATGAATTGCTATTTATAACTTTATATGCAAGGCGCAAAATATTACCATAAATTTGCTGGTCAGCTGCTGATATACTTCAGTTTTTGACATTATGTGTCCGGTGCAACTGATAACAAAGCATAACTTGTAGGTGGTAATTACATACAAATAAAAATATATTTTCTCCAGAAAAAAACATTTAAAGTTTACAAACAAGCTAAGAGAATTGAAAATTAGTCAAAATCAGTTATTTCAATCATTTAGAAAGTGAGACACCAGGTGAAATTTCTGACCATAAAATTTAGACCTGGGTGTAAATATTGAGTAATATGATGTTACTCAAAATGAACACCAGCAGAATAGAAAAACAAACATGTGCTGCAAAATAGATTAAAACTAGAGCCAGCTGCACATGTTTGATCAACCAAAGTAGCGGCGCTGGTAGGAGTTTATCAGGCATGCTGGTCCAATTTCTGCTTTATCTTTGTGTCCTTGAGCAAGACATTTCACCTACCTTACCTGCAGGTGTTGGTCAGGGGGCCCAGTAGCAGCCTTTTCTATCAGTCTGCCCCAGGCCAGCTGTTGCTACTCTCCAGTAGTTTTCCTCCATCAGTGTGTGAATGTGTGAATGACTAGTGTAATGTGAATTGGTTAGCCCTTTCTCTGGCTAATGGTGGCATAAATAACAGATGACTGGATTAAAGGCATAACAGGCTAAACAAAGGAAGAGAAACAATAAGGCACTTATAAAATCTGAATGCAAAATGAAGTTGTCTGACAAATTTCTGAAATTAATCCATAAATAGTCATTCAGTCTGTTTTACTCAGCCTGTCAATTTGCTTTTGGTTGTTTGTGATTGTTATTTTAACCATCGAAATGTATATTCTACCTCATAAACCATTAATCCATGTTTTTTTTTTACCTCCTAATTAGTTTCTTGTCTTATTTTAATATATCAAGATTGCTAGACTAGAGTTAAAAATTGGTTTTAACAGTTACTTTGACCAACAAAGCCAGACTTTCACATGAGAACACTGCTGAGCAGTCCCTGGTCATGACATCCACAGCTTTGTTTAGCTGTTAATCATCTTCTAGCCCTTACTTAAAGCATGATGTCATGCTTTAAGTATGATGTCATTCTGTAAGTAAGGGCTAAAAGTGACTAAACCTAACAAAAGTTAGTCAAAAAAGATTGAAACAATTCCTTGATCTATTTTTTTTTCTTTCTGAAATGGGGGGGGGGAATATGTATAATTTTAAGAAATATATCTATGATTTTAAGACATTTTACCTTTTTTCTTTATAGTTCATAGTCTTGGCGGAAGCTTCAAGAAAGACCATTTGGATTTATTTCTTTCATTTAGCCTGGATGGCAGACAGTAAAACATGTAAATATTAAAACATGTTCAGTCAGTACAATCGCTGCCCAACTATATCACCAATCATAAATCTGTTTTTGTTGGAGTCTGAAAAACAACACTGCTGTTGTTCTGTAGGCTGCAATAGTTCCTCTTTACCAAGTATCCAAGGACTTTCCTGGCATCAGACTGAAAACTTTGGATAGACATATAGATTATCATAACTGTTTTCTGGAACTCTGCTTCCTGGAAAATCTTTTAACAACCCCTCTTTAAAAAAAAGAGGTTTTAAAACTACTTTTTGATGGAAACATAAGGCCTTTGAGCTCATGTTTAACAGTTAAACCCAGCCGTTTCACTAAATGGGCAAATACATCTGAAATGAGTTCAAAATTTAATTACAGCTATTAACTTGTGGCATTTTTATAGAGAATATCAGGAGTTAGATGGCAAGAAAGCTTTTCATTTTTAATTTCCTTCTGGTGATGCATGTGCTTAAATTTAACTTTTTTAACTTGTTTGTTTTGGATTCAGCCCCTGGTTAAAACAACAACAACAACAAAAAAAAAAGTATTTTCAGAAAACATTATGATCATGAGTAGAATGCATTTGCGGTTTTAATTGGATTTCTTTTCTATACCCTACATAAGATGGCAACCCCACAATGTCAAAGTTTAGTTGTATTTTTGTTTGTCCTGTTTTGTTGCATTCATTTTGAACTAATATAATTAATTTGCAACATTCTGCTGTATTTTCCACAGTCAAAAACAGAACTTTGTAAACAGCTTATTTAATCCATGTTTTTCATTTATCTTTGTTGGTTGCGGTTTCAAATTTACTGGTTACTGTGTTTCCAAAATGACATCCATCTTGTCTGACTTTGGATTTAAAGGTGTTGCACTCAAAGCAGCGCCTCTTTCAGAGCCACATGTCCAGAATGCCGATATAATCCTAGAATGCCTGAGAGATGAGAATGACTCCTATGCAGTGTCACCCTCCATAAAACACAGATTTTCAGTCAATTTCAAGGGGAGCTTTTAAAGCAAACAAAACTAAATGGAGTTGCATGAGCTGTTTCCTTTGAGCCCCATCATGTGTAGGTTTGATGAGAAAGGTTCACAGTTGGGATCTAAGGACACTTAAGACACCCTGTTCTAGGGGGATGCTTCACTTTTGTTCTAGTGTAAATCTACCCTGACCATGGCCAACACTCAGCCTGTGTCAAAGCAAATGGAAGCGGTAGAGCGAACGCTGTGAATGAATGAAGAGCAACGTGCCATTTTCTGACCTCAGTTCACAGCAACAGTCAAAACCTCAGCTACATCCTTGGAGGTTTTTGCAAACTGTCTTAAAGCTATGGAGAGGTTTGTTCTTCAAATGCCATGTGAGAAGTGGGGAACCATGTGAGCAGGTCTGGCATTTGTAATGTAGAATTTTTGTCACTTGTCTTTCTTTCTGGTTAAATAGTCTTACTCTTCTGGAGCACAATAAATGATTTTAATATGCTGATATGTGTTATTATTATTATTATTATTATTATTATTATTATTATTATTATTATTATTATTATTATTATTATTATTATTATTATTTCCATTCTGTCTGGGTTGGACTGGGAGGGTATGACCCCCAAACATGTATACTGTTTATGAAGCAACATAGCCAAAATATCAACAACATTTCACCCGATTTAAAGTACACACCATTTGTTCCTTCCGTAACCAATGCTAAAACAGACTAAACTTTGCTTCATAACAAACCAACAGTTACCCTGCTGAAATAACTTTCCTGAAAAATAGATATGACTTTACCTTCATCTTTGGGAAACATTTTTTTTTTTTTTTTCTGGTTTCTGGAAGAAGAAGAATCCCAACGTTTAAGAAGGCTAGTTTCTAATTTTAATGTACCGCAGTATACTCAAATATTCATTGTGGATCAGAAAGAATGTGGAGCCCCATTAATTTAGAAAGAAAATAGTCCTCTAATTCAAAAATAAATGGTTTTAACACTCAGTTGACCCCATAGCAACTTTTGAGTGAGATGAAGAAGAATAATCCTAGCTTTCTTTTCAGCATGCTAGCCAGACAGATAAAGACTCGTATGGATGTGGAGGTATGTATAGCAAAGTGAATGTGTGTTGTGATTTAATACAGCCAAGATATTTTCCTCATATGCTCACATATGGAGGAATTTGATGTGCCTTGCTTTTTTTTCTTTAACCTTCACTGCTACGTTGCCGCAATCACAAAAAGTCCTAGAACCATTTCACCCAAAGACTATCTACATTGACAACAGTCCAGCATTCTCTCTGAAAATGGATTTTTTTTTTGTTTGTTTGTTTACTTTATTATACTTCATGTTTGTTTATTAATAGTTTAGTTCAGGGCTTCACATTTCATGACAAGTTACATATAATCTTTAGACTACATAGTTGGAACCTTATATGAAATACTCCAGGGCCTTCTGTAACTTTCAGGTTGCAACTGCTTCTTAATGTTTCCTCTTTTCTAACTGTCCCACTAATACAGTACAAGCAGTATTTCACACAAGGACACAGGGGAGGTCTGTTTAGGAGGGAGGCATACTGGCATTTTGTTTTAGTACTAATTGGAAATCAATCAGATTTCATCCTCTTCGGAAAACTGTGACATTTCCCGTTCTTTGTCAATGACTAGAAACAAATTATTCCGGAGACTGACTGACATTTGGAGAGCAGGTGGCTGTTTGGAGTGGAGTGTGAAGGATCAACAGAGCATATATTTATGCTCTGGTTTCTATGTGTGCACGTGTGTGCGTGCGTGTGTGTGTGTGGGTGTGTGTGTGTAGGTGTGTGTGTGTGTCTGTGTGTGTGTATGCGTGTGTGTGTGTGTGGGGGTGTGTGTGTGTGTTGTGTGTGTGTGTGGTGTGTGTGTGTGTGTGTGTGGTTTGTGTGTGTGTGTATTTGTCTGACCAAGGGCAAACGCTGCTTTGGACTGCTTAGCTAGAGGGCCCTGTAGGAATAGCTTGATAAGGGGGGCTTGTTTACCATAATAATGCATCTCATCTGTGCACATCAAACACTCCTGCCCAGTCTGATAACCCACTCTTTAATTTAGCACAACTGTTTGATCTAGATGTGCGGCAGTGTTCCCAGGGCCACTGTCACAGGCAACAAAACAGTTGGATAATTGCTGTGTACTTTAGCAGTATTTCACAAATAAAAGTTTTTCACGATGCACTGATTCAGGGAGTCATTTTATGTGCCACTTCTGATAACACAGGCTTTTAGTCTGAGAAATAATGTGGAGGCTTTTTCTTAATTCACTTAACCACTGACATCCATGTTTTAATTATTTGTTAACTGTTTTAAAAGCTGCAAAAAAAAAAAAAAAAGCTTTCTTCCAAGTTAAAGGTTGTTTACATGTCACGGAACATTTTTGGTGATTACCTTTAAATTGGTAAAATAACTTCACAATTACTATCTATAGTTGTAAAATTATCAACAAACCAGTGAAGCTGCTTATGTTTTTCAGATTTGACCATGAAAATAATTCTAAATCTTCAATTAAGGAGTAAAAAAGACAAAGATTCTGGAGATTAAATATGTAAAAAGGGATAGAATTCTTTATGTATTTTTCACAAAATGTCACGTAATGCAAAGGAGATTCCTGAATCAGCTCAAGTCTGTCTTTTCCATGCTGAAACCAGTGGCTCTACTCTATGCTCCCATATTATGGAGCTCTTAGTCCAAACCCTCAGCTGGAGCCCAGCTGCCTTACAGAGGCAGCTTGTTTCAGCTGTTTGCATTTGGGATCTCTGTCTAATGATCAAGAGCTATTTCTCATCAAGGTACCCTGTATTGATGTAGATACACCACTATAATGGCTCAGCTCTTTCTTCACCAACAAGTCGGAAGCATTCCACCTTTACCTTGTCACTTCATTGCAGACATGAAAGACAACACATGTCTGCTGTTTTACATGCAAAACCAAAGAAAGGAAGGGGAGGTCATCAAAATTAGTCCTCCAAATCACGACAAGAGGTGACCCAAAGTCACACCCATTACTGGCCCCCCCCAGCAATGTCTCTCCATTATTCATCACCACATGTATCACTTACTACGGCCATTTAAAAAACGCTCTCATTACTTACTTGCAGCATAAATCGTCCATAAGCCAAAAGAGAGAAATCAGTTTCACTTGACAGTGAATTGGGCAATGAGAGAGAGGGAAGGTCCTCTCTCTCATTGCATTAGTTTATCCAGAGAAACTACTCATTACCTTCGATCAACATTTAGAACCATCTACTTTATAGAATCAAACATGGAGAAACAATACTTAGTTTCATGCATCACTAATCTGACCAAACATGGGGCAAACATTGAGTTCAAACTTCTTTTGTTTGATCTTTTTGTTCTTTCTTTTGGTTTTATTGTTTTGTTTGTATTCTCTTGTAATTCATGTAAAGCACTTTAAACTGCCTTGTTGCTGAAAATGTGCTATATAAATAAAATTACCTGACCTGTAGCAAAGGTCATCAGGCCGGACCTGTGATGTCCAGCACCTCTTATTCAAATCTTTTTGTGCAACTAATTAATGCTCACATGAAGCGTAGACTCCAGTTTTTGCCTGATCACATATTCTGGAGGTATGGTCTCTTAAAAAGGCACTTAATTTGCTGACTCACATTAAAGCAAACACATTATGCTGCCATGTTTCAAATGGCAAGATTAAAACTGTGAAATTACTAACTGAAATTCCCAGGACACTTATTAGATATCCAAAATTTGCTTTGAAGTTGCTGAGTCAGGCTTCTCCCCTTAACAAGCTCTTTTAATCAGGCTTTTGTTCTTTTCCTGTCAACACATGCAACAAAACTTTGTTCGTCGTCCGTGTTGTATTTAATTGGGATTTGCTGAGTTTCTACATCATCTGAAACATGTTACCCTCAGGTAAGGCAATTAAAATCTCTGCACTGTCTTTTTCTTCCTCTGAAAGACATGCTGGAGCTGGGAAAATGCACACATTGAAACATACGTTGTGTACAGGTTTATCATCAAATATTTTTGAGTTACAAATCTTTTTTACACAGATTTTGTCGAGTCAGTTTTAAAAAACTGAAGATTGAGGCTTGTTCAACAGCAAGGGAAATGATACATCTGTTCAGATTTTCAAAAGCAGGCTGATTGGAGCCATTAGCAATCTTTTTTCCATCCAAATCATTTCTAGAGAGCCACACTGTTTGAGGTAGAAGCAACTTGCGGTCATTACGATCAAATCAAGCTTACTTCTCATGTTTCATTGTATGTCTGCGAGCAATCTGCCTGCCATGATTGAACCAAACAAATTCAATCTGAAAGGATCTGATGCCTCTTCCAGTCTGTCTGACAGAACACCTCTAAGCTTAATGAGGTCTGGCAGGTCTGTTCCTTTTTTACTCTCTTAAAGTGAAGAAACTTGGAAGTGTCAACAGTAAAACTAATTTAAGCGAACCGAAAGCCAGAGTGTCTGCATTAATGGAATTGTACTGTTCCTAGCTCTGATTTGAAATACTTGCAGGTAAGCTTGCTTTCACAAAAGATTCTAATTATTATGATAATGGGCACTCAAAATCACACATACACACAATTATATTTATAAGCTTTAAAAGCTTTTTTTGTTGTAGGTAGACCTGTAGGTAGATATACTGGTAGTGGCTAAAGCTGCTGTTTTTGTCATAAAGGCTAACTGTGATTTAAAGATTCAAGGAGAGCAAGTTCTTCAACATGCCAGATGTAATGAGCTGATGTTTTCTTTTAATGTCAAATATTAACAACTGCTACCCCCAGTAAGTCTCTGACTCCCTGCAGGTACACACTGGTCACTTTTTAGTAGTTTGCGGCAGCCAAACTACTAATCTTTCTATTACACATCAGCTCTGTTTTATACATCAAATATTTTTAATTCAATTTAGCTTATTTATACAGCACAGCAAATGTCATCTTGAGGCCCTTTACAAAAGTCACTTCAGTTCAATCATTCATACATTTTAAATACATTTTATTAAGCAGCAGAGAAGCCTCACTTTTGTTATTCAAAGTGAAACTTTAAAAAGACAATCACTTACATGGTGTTGTTGTCATTTCAGCAATCCTCATACATAACATGCATTTAGCGACATCGGAGTGAAAAAAACTCTCCATTAACACGAAGAAACCTGAGAACGAGATTCTTCATCTGCCACCACCAACTGGCGGTTTGAGACAGAGCAGAGGTACAAAAGGAAGCTGAAGAACTGATGTAGAAGTGCTTTCTAAGTTAAACAGCAGGAAAGAGAGAACATTTTGTCATCTCAGCCGATGTCGTCCTCCAGGAAGGATTCACAGCCAAACAGAATGAATGGAGCTCCAGATTCTATGGGGAGAAAAAATAACAGATGAAACACAAAGTCAACAGTTGAAATAAAACCACATGATTCAAATTGGACAGTAGAAGAAGAAAGTATCAAATTGAGAAAAAGTGTTCAGTTTGTCCTTCAGCAGCTTAAACCTG